AGCTGGAGGCTGGCACAGCTGCTCCACCTCCCCACCAGGCTCCAGGGCAGGGTTTTCACAGAGCAATCAGCCCCATTCCTGCTTGGTTCACTTTTCCAGGTGATGAGGACCTGCACCACACTCCAGCCTCTTCAGAATGCCTCCTGGGCCAAGGCAGGGATGGACCAGGATGGTGCCCAGTGCCAGCTCCTCTGCCACACCCAAAACACCAACACAAGCCTCCACAGGGCCCAGCCCTGCTGCCTGCTGCCCCTTTGGGCACATGTGACATTGGAGGTGCCACCAGGAGCAGTGAGAACCTCGGGATGAGCCTGCAGAGATGCTCAGGAAGAGTGAGGAGTAACAAGGACCAGCAGTGTTGGTCCAGTCCCACAGCAGACACAGCGGTGGCAATGACTGGATGTGGCACTCAGCACTCTGGTCTGGCTGACAAGGTGGGCATTGGTCACAGGTTGGACTTGGTGACCCTGGAGGCCTTTTCCAACTAATTCTGTGATAAATATGATAAAACACATCACCTCCCTTGGAGTAACCACATCAGCGTGGGTCTGGCTCTCTCCTCTGTCACATCTGGGGGACAGGAGACACCACAGAGCTGCTGGTGACATTGCCCAGACAGCTGGGAGTCAGCTCTGGGCTCCTGGTGCCTCACTGCCTGCTCTGGCACTGCCAGAGCTCAGCAGGACGTGTGTTTGTGGGCAGACAGCAGGGAAATGCTCTGCTGAACCTTTTACCCAGCCATCAGGAAAGGAGGGAGGGTGCAAAGGGCCACCCCAGCCCTGCCAGTGGCTCAGGAAAGGGAATTTCTGGGCTTGGAATGGGAATTGTCCATCCTCATCTCCACACTGCCTGGGAAGCAGAGAAGGGATGAGTTTGCCATTCACAGCAGGAACAAAACTTCTTATTCCAGCCCTGGGTCATTGAGGGGACACTGCCCTGCCCAGAGGAAGGGCTGGAAACCCTCAGAGCTGTCCTGACACACAATGTGGGTCCCTCAGTGCTAACCACAGCACACCTTGGGGTGTGTTTCCTTAGGAATTGGAGCTTCCCCAGCGCTCCTGAGCGAGCAGGATGCTCTGCTGTGGAACTGGGCACTTTCACAACGGGGTCAGTACAACCCTGAAGGACACAATTAATGCCAATCTCCACGGTCTGGCAGAAATAGCCCGTGTCAGGAAGTGGGAATGGCCTTTTATGAGATCACAGGTCCTGGTAATTGGAGTAACTGTGTTGATATAACAGCCTGAGACTGGAAGGCATTCGATTCATCTTGCACCACCTTTTAATGAATAATTAGCACTCAACAAAACCAGTGCACCTTCTGCTAAGTGGATTAAAACTGGTCACCTGCTGGAACTAAAATGTGGTTACATGGGGAACTCACCACTCTGGGGCTTTCTGGTGAGCATCACATGCTTTTCAAAGCAAAACTGAGCCAGGAGGAGGAAAAAAGCACCTTCCTGGTGCAGACTGCAGAGACAGAAATGGGGGAATCAGAGATGGGGATAGGGACAGCCTGGTAAATCAGCGTGGTGCAGCCTACATCCTTGGCTACAAGGAAAATTTTAATCTGTGCATTGAGAAACAAAACACAGAGGATCAGAACATGGCACCTGAAAAGTGCTTGGGCTTTGTGCAGCAAATCAGAGGTAAATACCTCTGAGCCTCAGCAGTGTGACCTCAGGGTCTGTAATCCCTGCTCCAGCATCTCTCATCCCACTGTGCTTCCTCAGCCCTGGCTCCTCAGCTCTGCCACTCACCTCAGAGTTTCCCAGTGGCATTCCAGCTGTGCTCTGTGGCTCCAAATCCTTTTCCATGGCCAGCCCAGCCCTGCCCTGTGAGCTCCCTGCAGCCCAGCACGGCTCCCTGCCCGTTCCTGCAGCACCTCCCTCCCTCTCCGAACACGCTCCGTGCCCGTGTCCATGTCCTGGGCAGCCAGGCTAACAGGGCTCTCATTGTCCACAGCACTTTTTCCACCTCTGAGGCACAAGCTGTGAGTTTGCTCCTCTCCTGCTGCCCTGCTGCTCGTTAGCTTTGCTCTGAATGGGCAGCTCAACCCAGCATCCCAACCAACCACTCTGCTGTCAGCTCCAGCTTGGGACAGTGTCCTCTTGGACCACTCTGGATGTGGTTGTGCCAACCTGGATGTGTTTGTGGCACTCTGGATGGGGTTGTGGCACTCTGGACGTGCTGCCCCAGGCACAGATGCTCAGCAGAACTCCACAGTGAGGGTAAAGGGCCCTGGAGGACGGGCTGGCTGGGCGTGGGAGCTGGGAAGCAGCCCAGGTCCTTGCCACTGCCCAGGAAACCTCAGGAATGTCCCAGCCGGGTGTGCTTGAGGCCCTGAGCCACATCCCAGCCTGCAGCACAGCTGGTGGGGTGTTTGAGAGTGCTGCAGAGTCAAAATCCTGGGGTTCTCTCCAGTCCTCAGCCTCAGCCCTGCTCTGGTGAGGCTGGCATGGGTGAGAGGACCCAGCCAGGGTCCTCTCAGGGCAGGGGACAGCCCCACATGGCAGCAGGAGCTGTGACACTGCTCAAACTGCTCCCATGCCAGCCCACTGGTGCTGCTTGTGCCAGTGGGTGATGGATCAGAGGACAGAGTGACCCTGACAGTGACTTACAGCCAGGCACTGTCCCCATCACTGCCCTGCATCCTGCACAGGGGCTGCCCCTTCCAGGACTGTCCAAATCATGTGTGTCCTTCAGCACTCACTGGGCACACAGCAGGACAATCAGTCTGCCCCACCAAAACCCCAGTGAACAGCCAGCAGAGCTGGGAAGGGGCAGTCCCTGCTGAGGCAGATCCATGGGTTTGATCAGCACAGGGCATCCCTGCACACAGGGATGACATCCCAAGCCACAGCAGCAGGAAAAGGCCAGGCCATGGAGGGATGTGCTCGGCAGCAGCAGCCTTGGACACACCCACGGGGGCCATGGAGCATCCCAGGCACTGACAACTGGGAGGACTCAGAGAAGAGCAGCACTGGGAAAGCCGCCAGCACAAGGCAGAGGAAGCTCGCTCTGTTTATCCTTCCTTGAGAAGGTTAAGGGGTGACACAGCCACTCTCTGTTGATGTCCCATGCCGGGACATCCCTGAGAGCATGGGGTCAGGAGAAGGTCTGGTGAGTCCCATGCCTTCAGGGCTCCATCCCTCCCGTTGTCCCCAGGGCCCCTCACACACACACACGGCCCTTTCGCAATCCCGCTTTTCCCCTTTTCCCGCTTCCCGGCAGCCCTGGAGAGCCCGGAGCAAACATGCACAGAGCAGGGGAGCCCTGACACCCCCACCCTGCTCAGGAGGGGACCTGACATGGGTCAGAGCTCCGGGGTCTGACAGGGCACATGGTGCCACAAACTGGTCACAGAAGCAGCCCAGGGTCACCATAGGAATCTGGATTTCCTGGCAGGATTGGTGTCACTCCCAAAACTACAACCTCCTGTGCCTGGGAGCTCACTGCCCCTCTCTGCCCACCCACCGTGTGTCCTCATCCCAGGCAAGGACAGGGATCCTGCTGCAGAACGGGACAAAACAGCGTGCGGGGCTGGGGCTGCACTTCTCTGACAACCCAGGTCCAGCTCCTTTGGGCTACCTGATGTCCCCATGTCCTGCTGTCACCCCCTATTTCAGGACAGGTCCCAGCACAGCTCGTACCCTCTCCCAGCCCCCCAGGACACAGCAGGGCCCTCAGCAGAGCTCTGCCCGCCCTGCTCTGAGCTGCCCGGGCTCGGGAGAGGCAGCCCGGGGAGGAACCGGCTGCCGGCAGGAGGGAAAGCCCCGGGAGGAATGCGCAAACATCGCCCATCCCCAGGGGCAGAGGGGCGGGCGGGGGGCCGGGGGCAGTGGGATTGGTGTCCCAGATACCCTGGAGCAGGGCACCAACCTTCCCGAACCTGCTGGGGACGGGACCGGCTCAGCTGCGGGCTCCTGAGAGCGGCAGGGAAGGCGAAACGCCAGCCGAGACGAATCATCCCTTCCAGCCTCCCGCCCCACATCCTCCATCCATCCATCCTCTCCTTCCATGAGCTACAGCATGTCCGCTCCTCATGGAAACCCTGACACTCAGGACTTCCATGTGTAACCCGCTGCTCTGCCCGCAGCCCGCACGCTTTGGGGTGCGGTACAGCCCCAAAACCCGCCCGGCACGGACCGGCATCGCCGCCCTCAGCCCCGCACCCGGGACACCCTCAAGGCGCCCCGGCCCCTCGAGGCGCAGCCCCCGCCGCTCCCGGGACAGCCGGGCCCCGCGCGGTACCTCCGGGGTGCCGAGCCGAGCCGAGCCGTGCCGAACCGAGCCGTACGAAGTCCTGCAGTGCCGTACCGAGCTGAGCCGTGCAATGCCGTATCGTGTCCTGCCGTGCCGAGCCGTGCCGAGCAATTTCGGTTGGTGCCGCCGCGCTCCGCCCCGGCCCGCCCCGCGCCGTGCCCGTGTCCGGGGCCGCCCCGGCCCGCTCCGAGCGGCCCCGGCCCCGCCGCCGGCACGGCCCGGACGGGCCCGGCCCGCCGCCCCGCCATGGGGCCGGCTCCAGCCCCCGCCCCGGCCGGGCTCGGCTCCAGGCCCGGCCCCGGCCCCCCAGCACGGAGCTGCCCGGCTGCTCCTGGGGTTTTGGCCGTCCCGTCCCCACCCAGCCCTCTCCTCACACTAGGCTGGAGAGGGAAGCAGCCAGGAATGGTTCGCCCTGGGTGCCCTTTTCCAGAGGCTGCAGTGGGGTGGATGGACAGATCTCCCCCTTTGGTCATCGTGCCTGTCCAGGGCAGGCTGTGGCCCCCAGACCCCCCGAAAAAACCAGGAAAGCCCTGCAGGGTTGGGGCTGTGAGCTCACATTGCCGGTGGCTGGAGGCTGGAGAGCAGCTGGGATGTGTGGGGAGCTACTTTGTTTGAGGGGACACAGCAACAGCCAGTGTGAGATGTGTGAGAGTGTTTGAGGTTTGAGGGTGTGACAGGGATGTGCTGGCACCCCAACACCTTCCCCCAAGAAACGAGCCATGGTGAGAGCCCAGCAAACGCTTTATTGCCAAGGACAGCGCTTCCCTCAGGCCCCAGGGACAAAAATAGAGGCTGCCCCACCACAGCCCATACCAGATCAGTCCATACAGACCAGCAGGTCCTCATCAGTGCTGAGAGCCAGCCCCAGCACCAGCTGCCCAGTCTAAGGCCCACAGGGCATGGAGAGAGCTGGGCAGCCCAGCCTGCATGACAGGGACACTCCTGTGGCACTAAGGCACCGTGCTGTGCCCCAGGACCACAAACCCAAACACTGCTCAGGAGCTCCTGCAGGCCTGAGGATGCCCAGCAAAGGTGCAGGGTACCCAGCAAACAGTTGGGGTGGCACAGAGGTGACCAAATCCCTTGAGCAGCAGAAATAGCTCTCTGCTACCCAGGCACCTCACAGCCCTGCACACACCCCAGTGACATCCTGCTCACCCCCATGTCCCCTCCCATGTGTACCTGGCCTGCTCCAGGTGCCCCTCTGCTCCCGCTTGCTCAGGCCGATGCTATGTGGGATGGGGGGCTCAGCCTGGCCTGGGGCACTGCCTCCCTGTGCCCTGTCATCAGAGGAGTCGTCCCAGGAGCTGAGAGCCAGGAGAGCTGCCCCAGGCCACGGGCAGGGCCACAAAGCCCAGCTTGCTGTAGAAGCTCAGCTGCTGCCTGTCGGAGTCACTGACCTGGCAGAACACTCCCCGCGAGCCTGGAAGGGAGGTGAGAGTCAGGGCACTGGGGCTGGGGACACAGTGACAGGGAATCAGTCTCTCCCCTGCCCCTTTGTCACAGAGTGATGCCCTGAGACACAGCCCTGCATGTCCCCAGTGCAAGGGGAGGGGACAGTGCCCGGGAGCACTGGCAGGGGACAGCTCCCAGCACTCGGATGAAGGGCAGCACTCAGAGGTCATGCTCACCATTGGCCCTGAGTGCACTCAGCAGGCAGAGGGCCAGGCTGCGACTGGCCCCAACATCCAACACACGGGGGGCCGTGCCCAGCTGTACCAGGGAGGGGAAACGCCTCAGCACGGGCTGGGGCACTGCCAGGGGCTCTGTGTGGAAGAAGAGCACTGCTTCCTCCAGGGCATCCTGCGGGAGACAAGCACAATGAGGGAACCCCCTCCACCTCTCCTATCCCCGCTCCAGATGTCCCCTCACCTGTCCCAGAGCTGCCCCCCCTGTGCCCAGCTCTGGGGGGTACTTGTGCCTGATGGCTGGCAGCCAGCTGCTGTCTCGCTGCTGCAGGAAGCCTTCGGCGTGGAGTGCTCCGGCTGCATAGCCACAGGGGCCATCCTCATCCTCCAGCACAAAGGTATACTCAGGGCTCAGGCTGAGGAAACTGCCCAGGAGTCTGCCAGGGAGAGGGGGAGCATGGCTGAGCTGAGCCTGGAGTTCCTGGGAAGCTTCAGAGCAGCCTTCCTCTTCATTTCCCAGCTGGACAGCACACCCAGCACCCACTGACCACCCCTCTGAGACCCCTCAGCCAAGGGGGGCCATTGCAGCCTCCAACACCTCAGAGCAGCCTCCCTCTTCATTCCCCAGCTGGACAGCACACCCAGCACTCACTGACTGAGACCCCTCACCAAGGGGAACCATTGCAGCCTCCAGCATCCAGGACATCCACAGTGGTGGCTGCCATGTCCCTGGTTGACATCAGCATGGGGATGTCCCTCCCTGTCCCTCCCAGTGAGGCCACTGCCAGCCATGGGGCACTGCTGGTTCCCACAGGGACACCAAGAGAGGCCATCCCCTCACTCCCCAGCCCTGCAGCATGTCCAGGAGGGAGCCTCAGAGGGGCCACATCTCACCTGTCACCGAGGAGATCCGGGTGGGCCACGAGGATCTCTGCCACTTTGGGATCGCAGTCCAGGCTCTCGCGGCACATGCGGTAAAGCTCTCCCTGGAAGAGCCAGATCCGTGTCAGCCCTGGCTGTACCTGCCATGCCACAGTGCCACCACCACCTTCTGCTGGCCTTGGGCTCGTGGCCACAGCACAGGCAGCCTTCAAACCAGAAATTGCCATTCCGGTCAGGCAATCCTGAGAGCAGCTGGTGGAGCACCAAAAACAACCCTGAAACTCAGGGCTCCAGAGAGCCTGAGCACAGCAGGACACCCCCAAATGTCCTGGTCACAGTTGAGTTTGCTGCTGCAAACATTCTGATAAAAGCCTTGCTCCTGAAAGGGGAGGCTGCCCTGATCACCTAAAAACAGAGGCAGGGCCGTGCCCTGCTGTGCCTGTTCCTGCCACGGGCTGATGGGCTCAGCTGGCTCTTCCTCTCAACATTGTTGTTGTCAAAGTTCAGCCTGAACAAACAAGCTGCACTCGTGTCTGTGCTGGCTGGATTTGTGGTGCTAGCCTTTCCTTGAGCTGGAGAGGAGCAGGGTGAGGGACAGGGGTGCTCACTGCAGGTACATGGGAAAACTTTGAACATTTTGTCTCTCCATATCCAGCTTCTCCCTTTGCCTCCCTGTCCCATCAAGAGCTGGCACCAAGCAGGTCACAGCTGACAGAAACTGCTGCTCTCCAGCAGGGAATCACCCCATAACCTGGATGGGTGTTTGAAAAACGGATTTGGAGATGGATCCCCACATGCTCTGGCAGTGCCCAGAGCTGCAGACTGGGGAAGGCTGCAGGAAGTTGCCATCCACACTTGTCCTATTCTGGATTTTGCCTGACATCTGCTCACAGCCAGTGCTGGAGATCAGCACTGGGGCTGCTCTGCAGATCATCCACAACCTGGCAACCCTGCCCTGTGCTGGTTTATCCATGGCTGAGGGGGCTCCCTCTCCTGCTCTGCCCAGGCCCCTGTCACAGAGAGGTGGGTTTGCTGAGGCCACAGCACATTCTCCAAGCCAGTCTCTGACATGCTGCTGACCACAGCCCCAAAATCTGCCCCAAAATCTGCCCTGGAGCAGCTGGCTCTGAGCAGAGCTGGACAGAGGGACCCACCCCACACTGGGAGCTCAGCAGCAGATGAGCCTGTAACTCATTATTTTATGGGCAGAACAAGCCACACAAAGGCTCTGGTAGGATCCCCCTCCATGCCACAGCTCCCACCTTGTCCAGGGGCAGCAGCGGGCGCAGCAGGTACAGCTGGCTGGACGGGAACAGTGGGGGTGGATGGTAGAAGAGGTCACAGCTGTTCCCCACGGGCAGCAGTGCCTGGAAGAGATACAGCCCATCAGTTCATCCTGGCTCCAAACCTCATCCTGGATGCAGCAGGAGAACGGCTCTGAGACTCCTGAAACCCCAGGAACCACAGCTGAGGCGCAGAGGCAGCTCTGTTTGCAGCAGCTCAGCAGTAGGGTTGGGATGGTGACTTCCCAAAAGCCCCTCAGCCCCAGAGGGAGGGAGGGAGAGCCCCACTCTCACCTGCAGCTCTCCAAAGAGGGCCCCACTCTCACCTGCAGCTCTCCAAAGAGGCCCCCACGGCGCGCCCAGGGCTCGGCGTCCCTCCCCAGCAGCATCGGGGCGCTGATGCTCTGGCACCCTGGAAGCAGCAGGACACAGACACACCTGAGGTGAGCAAAAAGCTGCTGGGCAGGGGGAGATCAGCCTCTGCTGATCTCCAAGGAGCTGCTCCCCAGCTGTGCAGCCCAGGGTGGTGAGAATGTGCCCTGCGTGCTGCTTCCCTAAGGAAGGGGCTCAAGGTACACAGATTCCTCTCACACTGAACTTGGGGAGCTGCTCAGGTCATCACCTGGTGAAAGTTCTTGCTTTGTAAGAGGTCACAAGGCCCCCAGAGCAACCAGGGAGCCCCAAACTAGAGGAAAATTGTGCAAAGTGATGCACAGGCATTCAAAAAACAGCCCCACCTCTCACCCAGGGCATTGCTGCTCCCAGACCCCTTTTTCCACACAAGCTAAGGGGTCTTTGGGATAAAAGGGCTGAGGAACCATATCCTAGAAATAGCTGTGGGATATGGTGAAGATCTGCTCCCTCCCTGGCAGCATTCCCAGGGCCATTCCTGCAGGCAGAGTGTGGGGAAGGGCAGCCTGATGGCTGTGGCATTCACATTCTCTGAACATGGAGAGAGATAATTCTCTCTCACAGGTTTTTTCCTGGAGAAGCACAGAAAGAAGAGAAAATAATTATTAGCAGAATCCAATTACCAAATCCCTTCAGGTTAATAATCTCCCTAACACATTCCACATGTGCAAAAACAGCAGGAGCAGCAAGTAGAGCTAAGAATTGTTTTCTCTTCATCTCTCTCTCTGTTCAGAGAATGTGAATGCCACAGATGGCGAGTGGGGCTGGGGGTGATGAGGGGCACAGCCAGACCCCCAGGCAGGTGGGTGAGCCAGGGCAGTGCCCATACTTACAGCCAAAGCAGCTCCCCCAGGTGCCCTTGGGGTCAGGGTCGCACAGGAGGTGACCATCTGCAAAGGAGGTGAGCACGGGACAAGGGTCAGCAACAGAAAATACCAAATATCAATATAAGGGGAGGTGAGCTCCAGTGGGGACGCTGGCACTACCAGAACCCCAAATCTCTGTGCTGGGTCCCAGACACCTTCACCTCCTTCTTGGGGAAGAGAGCAAGCACCAGGTGTGCCCTCAGTGCTTCAGGGTACTGGCACTCTGATGGAGCCCCACATTTCTCCTCACAGAGAAAAGCAAGGCACAATTCTTCCCAAGAATATTCTTATCACATTTGCTGTGCCTATGTTTGTACCAAAGTAGAATGCAACATGGAGATTTTTTAGGCAAAGTGATGGTGTTTTGTTTCCTTGGCCTATCACAGCCAGGTGTGTGTGTGTTGGGACTGTTGGGTGACAGTCATGAGATTCTGGACAGGGTTGAGTGCTGGGCAGATTCAGTTTAGATGCAGTATAATATAATATAGAATAATATAGTATAATAATTATGTAGCCTTCTGATAAGATGGAGTCAGATGCATCATTCCACTCCCCTCACTGGGGGTTGCCTGAAAATACTCTACTCAGACAGGGCCAGGTTTGGATAGATGTGATGGGGCTAGCAGGGCTGGCAGGAATGGCAGGGCTGGCATCAGCCGTGTGTAGGGGGATAGAATATAAGAAAATAAAGATAGTGTAGAAAGTAATCTCACTCCTAAGGAGTTGCAGCTGGGCCAATTATCAAAGATTAGGAGCAGGCCTGACTTTAAAAGGCCACAGCTGTAACCAATGAGAAGAAGAGTGCTATAAAAGAGTGGAGTGGCTGGTTGACAAGGGAATTGGAGTCAGTTGGTGATTTTGTGAAGAGTCAGTGCTCTGAGGAACTACCCATGAGAAACACCAAGAAGATATGAAACTTTTTTGGGTGACAGTCATGAGATGCTGGGCAGATTCAGTTTAGATATAATGTAATATACTATAAAATAATATAGTATAATAAAGTAATTAATTAGCCTTCTGATAAGGTGGAGTCCTCCTCATCAATTGTTGGGGATTACCTACAAATACTATACTCCGACACAGCTGGGTTTGGATAGGTGCGATGGGGCTGGCAGGAATGGCAAGGATGGCAGGGAATGGTAGGAATGGCAGGGGCTGGCATCAGGCACGTACCCAGCCAGAGGACGAAGGCACTGGCAGCCAGCAGCAGGTTCCGGATGTCCCACAGGTAGGGGTGCAGGTCGTAGAGCAGCGCCCTGCCGGCCGTGCTGACCAGGCGGCTGTGCAGGCGGCACGTCCGGGCGCAGAGCCGCTGGAAGGAGCGAGCCCGGCCCCGCCACTGCGTGACCTGGGGACACACAGAGCCTGTCAGACACCTGGGGGACACCTGTTTCACACTGCAATGCGAGATGTTTTCTATTACCATCTGTATGGCAGATTATCTTTTGTCAAGTGGGCAGTTTGCCTTATCTCTCTCTTTGAGTGACCACATTCACACCTCCCTTGGGAGGGGACAGCTGCTGATAACAGCTATTGAATATCACTGCATGACTGATAAGAACTACAGCATCCCATTGGGAGACGTGAGCCCAGAGGGAGGAGCCAAGCATTCCTACCCAGATATAGTCCAAAGGTTTTTGAGACACCAGCACGGCTTTCTCAACGGGATTGCCCAGAGCAACAGCAGCTGTCTCTCCTTCCACTGGATCTTCAGAGGAAGAATACATCCTTCTCTACAGGACCCCCTTGCTCCAACAGAACCACCCCTGACACTGCAGGAGGGCTGAGCCACAATTCCAATGGGACTGCCACCAACACCCTGACACACAGGGTGTCAGGTTGGATTCTGACTTTGTCAATGTTGTTCTAGTGTACTGCATTATTTTATCTTTTTTTTTTTCTTCCCTATTAAAGAACTGTTATTTCCTGCTCCCATATTTTTTGCCTGAGAGTCCCTTAGTTTAACATTTATAGCAATTCAGAGGTCTGGAAAGAGTTTACATTCTCCATTTCAGGGGAAGCTCCTGCCTTCCTTAGCAGACTCCTGTCTTTCCAAACCAACACAACACCCCAGCCATGGCAGACACTTCCCAGGAGCAGCCTTACCCCACAGGCATCAGGAGCTGTGTCCGGGACCCCCACGCTGAGGCTGTTGGCTCGCAGCCACCGAAAGTGCTCCAGGAGCTGCTGTGCCAGAGCTCCGTGCTGGTAGGGCAGGTAAAAGAGCTCCACCAGCATCCGCATCTCCTCCAGGGTCAGGGGTGATGTGGGGCTGGGCACGGCCTCCTCTGGGGTCAGTGGTGCTGTAGGGTGGGGTCTGGCCTCCTTTGAGGTCAGTGGTGCTGTAGGGTGGGGTCTGGCCTCCTTTGGGGTCATTGGTGCCATAGGGTCAGGCTCGGCCTCTTCTGGGGTCGTCAGGGCTGTGAGGGTGGTCCTGGGCTCCTCTGGGGTCACCTGGGATGTGGGGCTGGTCCTGGCTTCCTCTGGGGTCCCCTGGGATGTGGGGCTCGTCCTGGCCTTCTCTGGGGTGACCTGGGATGTGGGGCTGGTCCTGGCCTCCTTGGGGGTTGTGGGGCCAGACTCAGCCTTCTTTGGGGTTACCTGTGATGTGGAGCTTGTCCTGGCCTCGTTAGGGGTCATGGGGCCAGATTCAGCCTCCTCTGGGGTCACCTGGGATGTGGAGCTGGTCCTGGCCTCCTTGGCAGTCATGGGGCTGGTCCTGGCCTTCTCTGGGGCCACCTGGGATGTGGGGCTGGTCCTGACCTCCTTGGGAGTCATGGGGCCAGATTCAGCCTCCTCTGGGGTCACCTGGGATGTGGGGCTGGTCCTGACCTCCTTGGAAGTCATGGGGCCAGACCCAGCCTCTTTTGGGGTCACTGATGCCATGGGGCTGGTCCTGGGCTCCTCTGGGGTCATCTTTGCTGTGGGGCTGGTTCTGGCATCTTTGGGGCTCATGGGGCCAGGCCCAGCCTCCTCTGGGGTCACTGGTGCCCTGGGGCCAGGCCCAGCACCAACCTCATCAGCCAGTGGGGCTGTGGCACCAGGGCTGGCACCATCCCCAGGTCCTGGGGGTGTCTGGGGCACATCAGTCCTGATGGCCTCAGGCTGGGTGCTGCTGGGAGAGTGGATGGGGCTGCCATCCCCTGTCCTGGCATCACTGGTGGGCAGGGAGATGTTCTGACTGGTGTTGGCCCCACTGCTGGAGCTTGTGATAGGGCTGGGGAGGGTCTTGGTGGCCTCTGTGGTTCCTGCAGACTGGGCACTCCCATCCATGCTGGGCACAGCAGAGGGGGGCTCACAGCTCCCTGGGGTGGTGAGCTGGTGGCCAGGGGGTGTCCTGGCTGAGGTCACCTCCCTGCACCCCTCCTCTGGTGCCTCTCCGCAGGGCTCAGGGCTGTGCTGGTCTGCCCCACCAGGAGCAGAGCTGTGGGGCTGAGGGTCAGGGGTGCCCTCCTGTCCTCCTGCTGTGCCAGGCTGCAGCTTTGGTCCTCCCTTGAGGCTGACACTGGGCTGTGCTGGGGTCCTTCCTCCTGCCAGAAAGGAACAAGAGGGGGGAAGCTCCTTTGGCACCTGCATGGAAATGGGGCAGGACAGTGTCAGGGACCTCCACCCCTGATCTGCCAGGACCCTGGGCTGGGCTGAGGCTGTGGCTTTGCAGAGGCAAACATTGCAAAACACCAAGCTCACCCCTGGCTGACCTCCTCCTCCAGAGCTGGCCCAGGCTCTGTTTGTGCCAGCCAGGGAAACCCTCTGCAGGCTGTGGCCATGGCAGGAGCACCCATGGGGCAGCACAGCACAGCTGCCCACCATGGCCTGCATGGCCCTGCTGCCACACCAGTCCCAGACCCTCCAGATGGGCAGGGTCGGGCTCCTCACCCCCCTCTCCAGGGGTTGAGGGATGCTGCTCATGCAAATCCATTTACCTGACTCCAAGGCCTGCTGGTTTATCTCAGCCACCCAGTCATGCAGAGCCAGCTCCAAGGCTTCCTGCGGGCTGTAACTTCCATCCTGAGCTCCTTGGCTGTCCCCCAGGGCTCCCTCCATTCCTGAGGAACTGCAGCTCATCAGCCTGGGCAGCCCTGCAGGGCTGGGCATGCACAGAGCTGCCTTAGGCACGGTGCCAGGTACCTGTGTGCTCAGGGTGGGCACAGCTCCCCAGCTCGCTCCCAAACCAGGCGCCCAGCGTGTGGATGGGGATGAAGTTGGCCTGGAGCTCACAGTTGGGGTTGAGGAGCAGCCCTTGGAGCCTGGCCATGAGGCCAGGAGCTCGGCCCATGTAGGGGCCCAGGAAAACTCGTCTGCAGTCGTAGTCGTTGGCGTAGAGGTTGTCCCAGATGACGGGAGGGCGCCTCAGGACGGCCTCCACCTCCTCCAGCAGCTCTGCTGACAGCTCCTGGGACACCACCTTGGGGCCTGGGAAACACAGGGGACACGGGGTCCAGCACAGACACACAGCAGGGACACAGCCACCGAGATGAGGTTGTGGTCACCATAGTGAGGAGAGCAGAGCCCCAGCTCAAAGCCCTGTACACCCCAGTGAGAGGCACCACAGCGGGGTCACTGTCACTGCTGGTGGCTCTCCCAGGACAGCCTGTGGCCACATGGAGCCACATTTCTCCTCACAGAGAAAAGCAAGGCACAGTTCTTCCCAAGAATATTTCTAGGTTTCACATTCTCTGAAGCTCAGAGAAAGGAAAAACAATTCTTATCTCATTTGCTGTACCTGTGTTGGTACAAAAGTAGAATGAAATATGAAGATTATTTACCCAAAGTGATCGGGTTTTGTTTCCTTGGCCTAGCAGGGCCAGGTGTGTGTGTGTTGGGTCTGAAGGCTGAGATTCTGGGCAGTTGAGCGGTTGGCAGATTCAGTTTAGATGTAATGTAACATAGTCTAATATATATCATAATAAAGTAATATATAGTATTATATATTACTATGACTACTACTAATAATTATATTATTATATTATAATTATCATATTATTATTTTTATGTAATTGTATTCATATAATATATAATGTTTATATATTTATAATAATATAATATATATTATATTATATATAATATATTATATATTATATATAATATAATTATATAATTTATAATTTTATGTTTATATTTAAATGAGATTTAAATATCTATAAAATATATTAATATATTTAATCTATATTTAATAGTAATATATTTATATTTATAAGTATATATCATAATAATTATTATAAAAATACATAATACTTATAGAAATATAATATATAAGAATATAAGTTTTCTATATAGTATATAAATATATACTATATAGAAAACTTATATTCTTATATATTATATTTCTATAAGTATTGTGTATTTTTATAATTATTATGATGATAATTATAATAATTATAATATTATTATATTAATTAAATAGTATATATTATATATTACTACTAATAATATACATTACTAATCATATATAGTATTATAGAATATATATATAATAGTGTATAATAAAGTAATTAATTAGCCTTCTAATAAGGTGGAGTCCTCCTCCTCATCACCTGCCATGGGCTCAGCCTGTTTTTATGGCCACACCCCCAGAGCTGGTCCTGGCTCACCTGTCCAGATGACAGCGATCCCTGGGAGCAGCTCCTGCCCAATGGTCTGCAGGTAGCAGGACTGGCTGGGGCTGGGAGAGCACAGTGAGCTGCAATATTCTGGAGAGAGAGCACAGAGCATCCCCTGGGGGCTGGGGAACAGGAGGGGAGGGACTGCCAAGATCCTGGACTAGTCCTGACACCTCAGAGCTCCCCTGGGAGGGTGAGGAGGCTGGGAGGGGCTGCCAGGATCATGGGCTAGCCCTGAGGTGGCCAGAGCTGCCCTGGAAGGCTGAGGAGCCCAGGCAGAGCTGTGGGAGCTGCCAGGATCATGGGCTAGTCCTAGCCTAGTCCTGAGGTGGCCAGAGCTCCACTAGGAGGATGAGGAGGCTGGGATGGGCTGCTGGGATCATGGGTAGTCCCAGTCTAGCCCTGAGGTGGCCAGAGCTCCCCTGGGAGGGTGAGGAGCCCAGGGAGAGCTGTGGGGGCTTCCCGGGCACTCAGCTCTCAGCAGGGTCAGGGGTGCTGCCCAAGGGCACCCCAGTGTGAGGGGGCTCCCCACTTTGGGCACTGGGGCTGCAGGCAGTACCTGTAGGGCAGAAGAGGAAGACTGAGGGCTGGCCCAGCTCCTGGTACACCTGGTTAGCCACAGAGGCCTGAGCCTGTGCCAGGGAGGGGAAGACATCTCTGTCAGCCTGGCACATGCAGGGGTCGATGTCGTCGAAGAGCAGCGCGAAGGAGCGGCACCCCAGGGCGGCCACCTGTGGGCACAGACAGGGGCTGCTGGGACCCCCGGGCAGCAGAGACCGCCAGGGAGCTCCACAGGGGCATCTGGGCATGGCACAGCACGGGGCAGCTCCTGCCAAGGGAGTGGCAGCTGCACATGGAGCAACCCCACCATGCCAGCAGCTCTGTGCCCTCCCTGGGGAGCCAGGGCTCTGTGCCACCCTCAGCACTGCCCAGCAGCTTCTGGGGCTTGGCTGTTCCTTCTCCTGCACCCATGGAGCCCTCAGCTCTCTGTCACAGTGACAGGGACAGCACATTGGCCACTGGGCAGCCCAGAGCAGCAGGAGGGGTTCACACCCCCATAGCAGCCCACGGGGTGGGCACAGGGGGCACACATGGGGACCCATAAACACGTCTGAGTGGGCACAGGGGGTATCACAGACATCTTTTATGAAAAATCCTTTCCTTAGTATTTTTCCTCCTGAGAAGCTGTGAGGCCTCAGGAACAAAATGTAAACATTGATTATCTGCTGCTGTGGAATGCAACAGGGGCATCTCTGATTGGCTCATGTTGGTTGTTTCCAATTAATGGCCAATCACAGTCAGCTGTCTTGGACAAAGAGTCTGAGACAGAAGCCTTTATCACTCTTTCCTGTTCTATTCTTAGCTAGCCTTCTGATGAAATACTTTCTTCTATTCTTTTAGTATAGTTTTAATGTAATATATATCATAAAATAATAAATTAAGCCTTCTGAAACATGGAGTCAGATCCTCGTCTCTTCCCTCATCCTAAGACCCCTGTGAACACCGTCACACAGGGGGCACACATGGGCACACATGGGCACACATAGCACATGTGCCCCTGGCCTGGGAGCAGTGGGATGAAGGAATGGCCCACGGTACCTGCCTGAGTTTTTGCTGCAGCAGGAGGCGATCCCCAGCGCTGGAAAACACCATGTCCTGGCCGGCAGAAATAGCGAAAATAAACTCCACCCCCCGTTCGTGGGCAGCCCCGATGAGAGACCGCATGCGGGCTGGGGACAGAGCACAGGGGAACTGTGAGAGCTGGGAGGGACAGGGGACGGGGATGGGGTGACGAGGGATGGAGGGGGACGAGGGATGGAGGAGAGTAAGGGATGGAAGGGGATGAAGGACAGAGCAGGACAAGGAGTGGAGGGGGACAAGGAATGGAGAGAGAAAAGGGATGGACAAAGGATGGAGGGGGATAAGGGGTGGAGGGGAAAGAATGATGGAGCAGGACCGAGGAATGTAATGGAACAAGAGATGGAGGGGAATAAGGGGTGGAGGAGGACAAAGGATGGAGAAGGACAAGGGATGGAGGGGAGTGAAGGATGGAATGGGACAAGGGATGAAGGGGAATAAGGGATGGAATAGGACAAGGGATGGAGGGGGATAAGGGTTGGAGAGGGAAAAGGGATGGAAGGGAATAAGGGATGGAAGGGGAAAAAGGATGGAGCAGGACCAAGGGATGGAATAGGAAAAGGAATAGGTGGTACAAGGGATGGAGGAGGAAAAGGTATGGAGGGGAAAAAAGGATGGAGCAGGACCAAGGGATGGAATAGGACAAGGAATGAAGGGGAATAAGGGATGGAGGGGGACAAAGGATGGAAGGGGAGAAGGGATGGAGGGGGAAAAGAGATAGAAGGGAAAAAGGATGAAGCAGGACCAGGGGATGGAATGGAACAAGAAATGGAGGGGAATAAGGGGTGGAGGGGGACAAGGGATGGAGGAGGACAAGGGGTAGAGGGAGAAAAAGGATCAAGCAGGAAAGGGATGAAGGGGGACAGGGGATGGAGCGAGACAAAGGATGCAGCAGGACCAAGGGATGAAACTGAACAAGGAATGGAGGAGAATAAGGGGTGGAAAGGGACAAAGGATGAAGGGGAATAAGGGATGGAATAGGACAAGAAATGCAGGGGAATAAGGAATGGAGGGGGAAAAGAGATGGAAGGGAATAGGGGATGGAGAGGGACAAAGGATGGAACAGGAGCAAGGGATGGAATAGGACAAGGGATGGAGGGAAATAAGGGACGGAAAGAGAAAAAGGACTGAGCAGGACAAGGGATGGAAGGGGCAGGGGGTAGGGGGAGAGTGAACCCCAGGATTGTGAAAGGAAGGAGCTGAGGTCACTGGGAGGGGAGAGGCTCCAGGAGGTCCATTCCCACTCTCTTATGACACAGAGGACTTTTGGCAAGGGTCTGTGGGCCTGGCTATACTCAAGCACATTGCCTGAGACCCACATGGGAAGCTGGGTTGTCCCTTAGGCAATTCCCCATGATGGGCACACTCTGGGAATCTTCTTGCCCTTGGCAAGGTCTGGGGGCCTCCCTGCAATGGGCAAGGTCCTGGCAGGATGGAAACAGCTGTGACACAGCCCATGCTTTCCCCTGAGGGGCCCAGCAGAGCCGGTACCTGCCTCATGCTCTGTGTAGGGCTCTCTCCAGAGCAGACGGTGCTTCAGCTCATCCTTGGGTGCGTACATGTAGCAGTTCAGCCCCCGCTGCTGCAGCCTGGGCAGGGAGAGAAAGGAGTCAGCCAGGCTCCCCACGGGCTCTTTGCACAGCCACAGGGAGGCAGAGAGCTCAGGCAGTGCTCCAGCGCTGAGCTCTGATGTTGGAACCCAGGAAATTCCTCTGGCTGCCCTGGAGGGCTCCAGCCCCTGCCCAGGGGGCTCAGAGACCTTGGCACAGAGCCCAGGACCCCTGTGCCTTTGATTTAGCCCTTGGAAAAAACAATTACCAACGTTATATGAAGAATTACAAGCCATGAAAGGTTAAGTAGAATGATAGTGAATTTATCACCGGCTGAAAAATAGATTTTTGGGGTTTTTAGAATGGGGTTCAAGAGGCAAGATGGAGAGATCTGGGCATGTCCAGCCTTTCTCCTTCTTCTTCTTGGCCTCCATCTTCTGCTGTGATGGTGGCACTTTTGGATTGGTTTAGAGTAGAAGCTCACTGTCTAACATGGGTGATAGGTATTGGGAAGTTATGGTAAATAATGTATAGGTAGTTTTTAGTATAAAAAGATAACACTGCCTCTGAGGTGGGGAGAGTGCCTCTGACCTGCTGAACAGACCTCAGCAGGACAAGAAAAATAATTTTATAGATAAGAAACAATAAACAACCTTGAGACCAAGAAATTAAGAGTTTTGACTGCTTCTTTGACCACCAGGCTGGGAAAAGAGACTTTCTAACTCATCTTGGGGTCACTCTGAGCAGCAAAAGTCCTGAGACTAAGGTTGGTGTCAGACACCAGCAGGACGTGCCCCCTGGGAGGGCAGACCCCTCCCTCTTTTGGCACTTCTGCATGGAAGCCATCTGATATATTAATTTGATTTTATTTGTCCTCCTCAGCAAACAATGTTTTACATTTCCCCACAGTGAACAGAGTAGAAAGCATTGGAGGTATCTCATTATAAAAGTTCCTTATTTTGTTTCTTTCTAGATAAGATACCAATGGGCATGTCACCCTCATGTGCCACATGCCAGTGCAGCACCAGGCAGGAACTTTTCATTCCTGAAGTATTTAGAATATCCCAGCTTGTTTTCCTTCCATTTTCTGTATCTCAGGGAGCTGGGGGTGCTCAGGCTGAAGAAAAGGAGACTCAGGGGTGCCCCCATCACTCTGCACAGCTCCTGAAAGCTGCCTGTGCTCAGCTGGGGCTGGGCTCTTTCTCCAGCAGCACTGACACAACCAGAGCACACAGCCTCAAGCTGTGCCAAGGGAAATACAAGTTGGATATCAGGGAAAAGTTTTTCACAGAAAGGTGATAAAGTTCTGGAATGTTCTGCCCAGGGAGGTGGTGGAGTCCCCATCCCTGGGTGTGTTTAACAAAGCCTGGGTGTGGCACTGGGTGCCAGGGGTGAGTTGAGGGGTTGGGGCTGGGTTGGAATCAATGATCTTGGAGGTCCCTTCCAACCTGGTCATTCTGTGAATTCTGTGAATTCTGTCCCTGCACTCTGCTCCTTAATTACATTGTCACTGCCCACACTGTCACCTCCTTTTTATTAATTTCCCAGCCATATTTCCCTCTCCCTTTCCCTATTGGTTGAGGTGTTTGAGAGGTGCAGAGTTCCTGAATCACCTAATACAGACCCCTTGCTTGCAATGTGCATTCCCCCCTCTCCTCTTTTTCTTTGTCTCTGCTCTTTTTCACCAAATCCAGGAATTTAGCACAGCCTTGGGTGAGCAACAGTCTGTGTCAATTAGTGGAATTCCTATGGAATTTTGTTTACTCCTATTGCTTTTTACTGATGGTTTTTTTCAAATATCAGTATCTGGGTTTACCTACCTGCAGGCATTCCCCCCTCCCTTCTTTTTCTTTGTGTCTCTGTTCTTTTTCTCCAAATCCAGTAATTTAGCATGGCCTTGGGTGAGCAACAGTCTGTGTCAATTAGTGGAATTCCTATGGAATTTATGGTTACTCCTATTACTTTTTACTGATATTTTTTTCAAATATCAATATGTGGGTTTATCTACCTGCAGCCCCACAGTTTGTTTGTAAAGCCACCTCTCTCTCATTCCTTTCATTAGTACAGACCAGCTCTGAATCCTAACTGCATCATCAGATGGCAGAATAATTAATAATTTCCACGAAGAAACTGTCTTTTAACCCTGGAGAAATGCGACTCTAGCCTGTGTTTTGTCTATTTCTGGTCTTCTCATCTGCATCATGTCTCATGCACCGGGATGTGCAGAGCCCCAGCACCACCTGCCGGCCCCTTGTCCGTCTGTCCGTCCGAGAGCGCCGGGACAGGGGGACACTGCAATAATGAGGGCCCTTGGCTGCCACGCCACCTTCAGAGAGGAACATTCAGGGTACTTGCCATTGAAAGAGAAGTTTCCTCTGATCCATTGACCAGGGTCTGCCATAGAAACCTGGAAAAGGGAGGGGAAAAAAGGCAAAATACAGTAAGAGCCGAAATGAGAGATGTGGGACTCCAGGCAGCTCTCTAAAATGCAGTTTATTCCATCCGGGGTCATGGGTGACAGAGCTGTGCCTACAGCTGTCAGCTCCAGCTGCAGGCAGGCCTGGAGACCCTGAGTTTAGGTTACAATGCATTCTATACTTTTCTTTTGGTTACAATGCATTCTATACTTTGCTTTGCTGAGCATCTTCATTCAGTAGAACCAATCTATGCCTTAACTTTTATCTCTAGCCTATCATAACTACTGTAATTACCATATTCATGTTACTGTTCTCCAATCACTAAAAGTTAGTGGATTACAGTTTAAGCCAGAAGATGTTTTTCAGTTTTCTTGCAGTGGAAAATTCTGAGACCTTTTTTCTACTTGCAACATTTGCTGACTTGTTTGCCTGTGCTCTCTTTGTGCTTGGTAAAAACATCTTCTTGTTTGGGGTGGGTTTATCCTTTAAGCCATAAAAACCCTTCTAACTAACACAGCCTTTGCCTCCTTGGTTATCCAGTGAGACTGGCTCAGCAATTCTTTTCTTCTATATCAAAACTTGCTTCCATCTCTATTCCTTCATCAGATTCTTCATTCAAAAATCTTTCTGCTAAGCATCTGTGAGACTTTCTTGTCAAACTTTCAACAATGCAGTTTTTGGAAAGTGCCTCAGAAGTTTCTCTGGTCTATCCCTGAATTCCAGACTTGCAGCACCCATTCTGCCTTTGGGATCACTTCCAGGGAAGGCCCCTTCCTGTTCCTGCATGTAGGAAGGTGCAGAGCTGTCTGCAAAGCCAGGGAGAGAGGACATCCAGAGGAACACAAACCCCTTCCCCTGGGACAGGCTGATAAATTTGTTTGGAGAAATGCAGATTTGACAGCTCCTCAAAGTGGAGGTTAAAGGGAACCTGTCAGAGTCCCAGCACAGAGCTGAGATTCAGCAAGAGAAGAACCTTCAGCCACTTAAATTCTCTTCAAGACCTGGCAGATGCAAGGTGAAGTCTCACAGAAAATCCATTATGTCTTGGACAGTGATGAGAATTGGCCATCAAGGTATCTCCCTGCTTTCTCTCTGCATTGTGGGCAACTTCTGAATCAATCACTGCAATTTCCAGCAGTCAGGGCCAAGGGCAGCAGATGCTGGGAAGTGACAGCATTCCCAAAAGTGGGTGGTGCGCAGGGGCAGGCTGCACTGACCCCATCAAGCTGGGAGGAAGGACCAGCTCTCCATGAGGCCAGTGTCACCTGCATTTTCCAAATCAGTGTCCCAGAGCTCACCTGCCCTCGTTCCCTTGGCTGCCTTGGGCAGGAGCCCACCCTGCAGCAGCCCTGGGCAATGCTGAGGGGGTTGGCACCACAGCAACACCCACTCTCCATCTGTCTCCTCTCTGCTGACACATTTCCTACCTGCCTGAACACCTACATGGTTATTCCATATATTTTGAAATAATATAAAATCACTTTGCTATCCATCCCCCACCCTGCATGAGGCCAAATTTGTGGCAACTCAAGAATCCCTGCAAACATTTCACCCAAAAAATGTTATTTCTGTGGTAAATAATTTGCTATTTTGAGATCCCAGCGAGGTCCCCAGAGTCCCTGTATGGCCCCTGCAAGTGACACTTCCACAGCACGTGGGCTGCCAAGGAGGCCACTCAGCAGAGTTCTCCTGGAATGGATTTGCCAGCATCATCCCTGTCCTCCTTCCCAGGTCAGCTCTACTACACCAATGATTCACGTCTGAATCATGCCAGCCTCCCCACGCCTGCATTTCCTGTTTGTTTTCCATCCATTTGCACGGTGCTGCTGCTCCCTCAGGTGGGGCAGAGGGCAGTGCCCGTCCCGGGGGTGCTGCGCTGCCAGCAGGAGGGCAGAGGGATCTGCCAGCTGCACGGGGAGCTGGGCATGTGGGCAGGGAGAACACAGAGCTCTCCCTGGCCAGCTCTGGGCACGGCTGCCCCATGGGCAGGGCGGGCACACAGGGAAGCGCCCCTGGCTCCAGGGCAGCCAAGAGCCCCGTGTGGAGCTCTGGGGCCGAGCAGAGGCTCCCTGAGTCCCTCTGGCTCTGCTGGGGTGGCTGCAGGGTGAGCTGGGGAGTGCTGGTCCAGCCCCCTGGCAGAGATGGGGGTCAGTGCAAGGACCCCACTCCCACCTCCCCCCCAGCCTGGGGCCCTTCCCGACCCCGCTTCCCTTCGGGGGAACGCCCTGGGGGGGCCGGGCAGCGGCCCCGCAGGGACAGACCTACCTTCCACCACGCCGCAGAGGAAACGCGGCCGCTCCGCCATCCCCCGCAGGAGCGGCACCGGCGGCCGGGGATGGGCGCAGGGTGCGGGGACGGATGGAGGGATGGAGGAGGGATGGAGGAGCGAGCAGAGGGATGGAGGAGGGACGGGGGAGGGATGGAGGAGTGAGCAGAGAGACGGAGGAGGGATGGAGGAGTGCGCGAGAGGATGGAGGAGTGAGCGGGGGGACGGAGGAGTGCACGGAGGAGTGCGCGGAGAGTGGAGGGGAGTGCGCCGGGGGATGCTCGGAGAGATGCGCGGAGGAACGGAGGAGTGCTTGGGGGATGGATGGAGGGGGAGCGGGGGTTGAAGGAGTGCGCGGAAGGATGCGCGGGGGGGATGGCAGGTGCGCAGGGGGATGGAAGGATGCCCAGAGGGAAGGAATGTTCGCTGGGGGATGCGGGAGGGATGGAATGTTTGCTGGGGGATGCAGCGCTGACGGGAGGGGACGGAAGGATGCGCGCAGAGCTCCGCGCAGGGGCGGCTCCACCGCCCGCCCCCCCCGGGCCGCGCTCGCCGCAGCGCAGGGGGCGGCTCCGCGGGTGGGGCTGGGGGGCGGAGCCGGGGGGATCCCCAAAATCCCTGCGGAGCGCCTGGGAGGCGATGCTTGGGCCGCAGTCGCTCCCGGTTACCGGGGCCCCGCCCGGTGCCCACGGCAGCCCCGGTGCCCAATGTCCCCAACCGCGGTGTCCTCCTGGTGCAACAATTCCTTCTCCCTCCTCTGAGGCTCCCCGGGAGCCCACACCCCAGAGCTGATCCCGAGGGGTGGATGTCATCATCTCGCTGTGCTCACCACCGAGCTGGCACCTGCCCTGGCACACCCTGATGCCAGGTCCGTGCCACCGGGCCGGCCCGTGTGCCCTGCAGGTGGCTCAGCTGTGCCAGGCTGTTTGCCCTGTGCCCCCTGAGCTCCTCTGGCCCGCGGTTGTGTCTGTCCCACGGGCAGATGAGCTCCCTGTAGAGCCCAGCCTGCACACGGGCCGGGCTGTCTGACACCACCACGTCATTCTGTTCCTTCTCAGAGCACTGGGTCTGTTCTGTTCCAGACCACTGACATCAGTTTCAGAGCACTGATGTCATTATTCTGCCCGGGTTTGTGGTCTGATCTTTCATCTGCCTTGCACACTCTGGTTTTGGTATTGCTGTGGTTACACCCCACGGCTGTTTCTGACACATTGATCTCATCTCAGCCTGGGTGATCTTTACTTTTCGTGCCTCCAATTCTCCTCTCCGTCCTGCCTCGGGGAGGGTGGGGCTGTGAGCAATTGCTCTGGGATGTTTCAATGTGAGCACTTAATTGGGGAATGTCATTCCTAAACCAGGGCACCAGCACAATTCTGTCACCGTGCAAATGTGAGGGGTGAAGCCAGGACAGAGCAGAGCACTGCATCCATCCAGGCACTGCAAATCTCCACACCTGCAGCCATTTCATCAAAACCACAGGTGCAGAAATGGGCATCAGAGCCTGGGAAACCAGGATCTGTGGCTTCTCCCTCCTCCCTTTGCAGGTTTACGTTGTGTTAGGAAATCAAGTCATGGTTGATTTGATGGCTGAGCCATCAAAGCAGCAAGAAGCCCAAGAGTGCCTGACTGACCTGGCAGGGTCCCAGTGCCATCAGAGTGCCACCAGGCTGGCTCATCCATGCTGGGATGTGCTGGGCACAAGGTTTGTCCCCTGTCCTTTGCCTCACAGCCTCACCTGGCTCAGCTGCAGCTGGCAATGCTGGACTCAGGCCTGGCCCTGCAGGAGGCTCCTGGGGCAGCCTGGAGTGGGCAGCAGTGACAGGGACAGTACTGGGAGCAGCCCAGGGCCCCTGGAGGGACATGGCATGAGATATGGATGGCGTTGATCTGTCCACAAAGACAGTCAGAGAATGACATCCTGCAGGGCTGTGCATACACAGCTGTTTGCTGTGATTCTCTGCCTTTTCTGCTCTCTCTGTGAGCACCTGGCTATTCCATGATTTTCTTGGACCATGAGCCTGAGGTAAGCAGCCTCTAGTCCTCCACTTCATTTTTTCTCCTTTTGCCTGTCCTGTGAAACCTCACCTATCCCCTTGTCCACTCCCCATATTGCCCTCTGTGAAAAATGCGTATTTTATGATTTGCTTTTTGCAAATATTAAAATGAATATTATATGTGTTATGTTAGAAAGTTATGCTGTGTTAGTTTGCTTAAGTAGTGTGTTAAATATAGTTTTAGGTTATAACATAGTGTTAAAAGAGAGACTATGCTATGTAAGATACTTTTTTTAAAGAGAGGAATGAGGAACTTGCACCGAGATAGCAGCCACAGGACACCTGAATCTTTCAGAGAAAGAGAATTTATTACTCCATTATCAGAAGAAAAGAACTTCTTCCTGCCTCACTCAGCCCTGACGAGCCGTCAGGATTCAGAGGAAGAAGTTGACACTGACCAGACAGAATCCTGTGTTGGAATGGAATTGATGTCAAGAGGTACCTGGACTGTCTGTAACTCTTTGTTTTTTATTGTCTTATATTGTCCTAATCCTAACTGTCCAAATTATTATTACTCTAATTATATTCCTATTTTCATAACAATTTTACTACTATTAAACTTATAAAATTTTATAACCAAGCGATTGGCGTTTTTCACACCTCGCTCACCCTCAGCCCGCCCGAGCGCGTTTTCCCGTCCCCACGGAGAGCACAGGCCTGTGTCACACGCGCGTGCACGAGCCCAGGTGTGCACACATCTGTCCACGTGCACGCGCGCACACGCGAGCACGCCCCGCCCCTGACACGCGCGTCCCGGTCCCGGTCCCCGCACCATCCTCGTCTCGGTGCCCGTCCCATCCCTGTCCTGGTCCCCGTCCGGTTCCCGTTCCGATTCCCGCCCCATCCCCGTCTCGGTCCCCGCCTGGTCCCGTCCTGGTCCCCGCCCGGTCCCCGCCCCGTTCCCGCCCCATCCCCTTCTCGGTTCCCGCCCGGTCCCGTCCAGGACCCCGGTTCCCGGTCCCCGCCTCATTCCCCGTCCTGGTCCCCTCCCGGTCCCCGCCCCGTTCCCGCCCCATCCCTGTCCCGGTCCCCGCCCCAACCCCGTCCCTCTCTCCGCCACATCCCCGCCTGGTTCTCGCCCCATCCCCGCCCGGTCTCCGTCCCCGCCCCGTTCCCCGCCTCATTCCCCGTCCTGGTCCCCGCCCTATCCCCGCCCATCCCCGTCGCCATCCCCGCCCGGTCCCGTCCCGTTCCCGCCCCAGCGGCGCGGGCGGAAGGGCGCGGGGATGGAGCCGCCGGCCATGGAGGGGCCGCTGCTGGTGCAGCAGAACCCCAAATTCGGCACCAAGGTGAGTCCGGGCATCCCTTCCTCCCTTTCCCTCTCCCTCCCCTCCTTCCCTCCCTCCCTCCCTCCCTCCCTCCCTGCCTCGGGCCGGCTCCCGGTGCCGCTCCCGGTGCCCGGTGTGACCCCGCTGCCCGCAGCGCTGGAAGCGCGGCTGGTCCGCGCTCTACCCCGCCAGCCAGCACGGCGTGGCCCGGCTCGAGGTGTTCGACTGCAAGGAGCCGTCGGCGGCCGGGCGGGCGGGCACCCGGCGGCTCGCCCGCACCGTGGTGCGCCTCAGCGACTGCACCAGCGTGGCCCCGGTGGGCGAGGGCGGCCCCCGCGCCGGCACCGCCGCCTTCCGCCTGGAGACCCGCGAGCGCAGCTTCCTCTTCGCCGCCGAGAAGCAGCAGAGCGAGGAGTGGGTGGCGAAGCTGTGCCAGATCGCCTTCCCGGTGAGCCCCGGGCTGGGGGCGGGACACGGACATCAGCGCGTGGGGGTGGCCCGTTCGCACCTGGCAGCTCGGGGAGGACACCCCGAGGTTTGAACCGCCCGGCCCTGGCGCTCCGGTGCCCTCTCGATGGCTCCCGCTGTGGTTTGCGGGACTCCTCAGCGTGCTGGCAATAATTCGAGGTTGTGGCTCCAAATTTCGAGTCGGGCTCTTCTTGCCCGGTGAGGAGCCCCTGCAGAGGGCTGGCAGGAGGCCAAGCTGATGGCCAGGAGCGTTTCCTCTTGGCCCAACCATTGCTGCCTTTCCTGCCACAGCAGCGACAGAGGAAGCACAGCCTCAGAGCCTTGCAGGACCTGTCTGGTTCCAGGAGCTGGAACCTCCTTTCCCAACCTTGGGGCTCAATCCTGGCTGCCGCTGCTGTGGGCACCCAGCTTTGGAGCACTGTCCAGCTCCATCCTCTGCAGCCCCTGGAGCTGCTGGTCCTGGGGAGCCTTGTAGGACCTGTCTGGTTCCAGGAGCTGAAACCCTCTTTCCCAACCTTGGGGCTTATTCCTGGCTGCTGCTGTGGGCATCGCATCTGTGCTGGGGCTCTGGAACGCTGCCCAGCCCCATCCTTTGTAGCTCCTGGAGCTGCTGGTCAGCCAGGGTGCCCAGCCAAGGCTCTCTGGGCAGTGGGTGCCCTGGCACTGAGGTTTCTGTGCCCTCTGGGACACAGCCCATGCCTGCCCAGCTCCTCAGCGCTGCCTCTCCCTCCTGGCAGGGTTTGCAGAGCCCTGGGTTGGGCTGCAGCTCATTCCAGCCTTGGAGTGCTGGGCAGAGCTGGGTGCACAGCTGGTGGTGCCAGGATGTCCCCTGAGTGTGATTTACCTTTGTCCCTCCCTGCAGTCTCCTGGCAGGCCAGGTGTGTCTGTGCTGGGAGGCACTGGTGGCAATGTCTCTGTGGCTCCTGGTGCAGCCAGGGTTGCAGTCTTTGCCCTCAAAGTGGCTTGTGGGGCTGAGCTGGGGACACAGCACGCCCTGGGAGTGGGGCAGGGTGGTGGCCAGGCCAGGGAGCACCTGCTTGGAGCTTCCATCCCCACATGGGAGCCATCATTTGTGTGCCTGAGGTCCAGAAGCAAGCTGAAGGTTTGGGAGGATGTGAGCAAAAGGTTACAAGGCTGGCATGTGTTTTGGAAAGGCCTGACCTGGAGCAGGAGGCACAAGAGCTGCACGTGGCTGGAGATCCTCAGCTGGGATTGCTGATCATCTGCATGGAGAATGTGATTTTGTGTCATGTTCCTGCCCAGAGGGGATGCAGGGTCCAGCAGATTGGAGCTGGGGCCAGAGATCATTCGGAGTTCAGAAGAGATTTTTTTTTTTTAATTTCCTTTTGAAGATGAGGAGAAGTGCAGTCAAATGGAGCCTCAGAGGCTCTGGCAGATTTGGTGGCCCTTGGCTTTCCAGGTTGGAGCTCTGCTGTGCTGGATGCTTCAGCTGAGGAGGAGCTGCTGCTGTCAGCTCTCAGGACATGAGGTTTTAGGACCCAAACACAGAGACTGGATGGCCCTTTTTTGGGCTTCTTGTTAAGAAGCTCATGTGTGTGTGTTTAAAACTGAAACTGCAAGATGCACCCTCTGCTGCAACCCCAGGAACAGCTCCACACACTGAACGTCCCTTGTGTCATCTGTAGAGAGCCTGTAACTGTGAGGGGCTTTTCTGCAGGAGGATCTGTGAAAGCACCACGGGTCTGTGTCCCCCCCCCAGGCCCTCTGGGGGCCCTGCT